TACGAGTATATATAATATAAACACACACATACAGATATTTCTACAGTTATAGAAGATGCAAAGAAAGACTGAAAAACAAAACGCACTATTTTTTCTCGAACCTTTTATAGCTTGACAAAGAATATATAAACAGTGAAATTAGTGTCTTGGATATTTTTCAGCATAACAGAACGAGACTGTCTGTCTTGCTTTCATAGTTCACTAATTTACTATTCGCTAATTTCACATTCTTCATTAAATTGCTGTACCTGAGCATATAGTTATGCACAGGCTTCATTAAATTGCTGGAATTTCTTCAACTGAATCTAAGCATTATTCCATTCACAAATAAATGGGTAAGCTACGTGAAAAACTGTACTGCTTGTTAAATATCACCTGCAGTCGGAAAAAAAATAACCTACAGTTCATTTTATGTAGGCTAAATACTGCTCTGTTTGCATAGGGTATAAGAGTAGGTAGCTATAGCCTTGGGCCTGGGCTCGAATCGTGGATAAGATCTGGGTATTTGTCTTTGCGACATAAAAACCCTTAAAATGCTACTGAACTGAGTCTTCGTGTGTAGTTAGTAGAAGGGAAAAAGGGGCATAAGTCCCTCAAATTTGTACCTCAAGGTATTCGCCAGTTTCAGGACTTTCTCTCTTGTTATTATCGGTTGCATTTTACAGTGCACCCTGGACAATGTGCTTGGTGATGAGATAGTGAAATAACTTACAAGATATTTCTCCCACCTTCTTACCGTGCCTTCGTGATATAATGGCCAACACACTCGGTGCGTATTCGAGAGGTTCGTGGTTCGAGTCCTGGTGAGGGCACTGTTAATTTTTGACATCTCTCAGCGTCAAAAATCCTAATGTCTCTACAGTGACGCCCAAACTAAAAAAGGTGGTGGATGATGATTCTCCACCACCAGGATTTGGCGATTGGGTCCCCTAATTCCCATCAGCCCTTTCAAAGGGGGAGTATATAAGGTATTTCTCCCACTTTCTTAGCATGCCTTCGTGATATAATGGCCAGTACAGTCGGGGTGTATTCAAGAGGTCCGTGGTTCGAGTTTCGGTTAGGACATTGCTCATTTTTCATGTCTCATGCCTCGAAATAACCTAATGTCTCTACAGACTGATCATACATATGTGAATGTCACTGTTAGTGAAAAGACTTTTGAGTAAACAATGTTTGGAATCAGATTCAGACTGACCTGAAAACAATCTTTGCCGAAAAACATTTATTAACCTAGTATCATAATAGAAAAAATAATTTTTTTGTGTTGAAACACAAAAAAATTTTTGTGTTGAAAATTTTCAACACAAAAATTTTCGATTTTTGTGTTGAATGAGTGTTTTGTGGTTGTGTGAATTCGATTTTTGTGTTGAAAAATGTGCGCAGATTTTTCATTTTATCTCTCTGTTAATGGGGAAAACGTTTTTAGCTTATGTTTAGTACTCATCGCTAACAGAAATCTCTTTAATGCTTGTCTTTCAATAAGGCAATTAATATATAAATAAAAAATGCTTAGTGAAATCACATTTATTCATAACTACTTTAAATAACTTAATGATGCCACGAAAACGAAACTATAAAAAAATCTTTCCCAGAAATATCATTGTAGTTTAAGGAATTAAAAAAAAAAAAAAAAAAAAAAAAAAAAAAAAAAAAAAAACTGCGAAAATAGCATGCAGTTATAGATATTTTAGAAGACGATCATTAGGAATAAAAATTTAAATAATGCTAAGTCATCAACATTGGGCTGTGTCAGTACAAATAAATTCAACTTATATGCCTAGTATTTCATTCAGTTCGTATACGTATTTTTCTGTAATTTATCTGATTGAACTATTCAGAACGATTTTATCTTATTGAGCATGAGCAGTAACATGAGCGTTTTCTTCATTTCAGCTCTAAAAGGGAAATCAAGATAATTTTCATCACCACCTTTTTCAGAATATTTTGCATACACTGCATATATATTTCCTAACATTTTCGAATCGGTCATCAGTGCTGCAGATTAAGTTTTTTCGTCATTTTATAATCATATAATAAGGAAATTAATGATGATAATTATATAATGATGAAAATATTTATTTTATGTTAGTTGGAGATGAATAGGAATTTTTTTTTTCAACTTTATCTGTTTCATCATTTACTTAAATATTTTCATGCTTGAAAAGGTTCTTTACTCGCTTTTCTGAGACGTATTTCCAGAACAGGTATTTATCAAATGAAGTGCATCACTAAGGATAGGCTTCGTAGATAGCTGAGTGATTTACTTTTACATTTGTTATATTACTCTGCTTATTTCATGGAGGTACTATATTTCGCCTTCACTGTTCCTATAAGGTTTTCCATAGATATGCTGCTTGCTGGAAGGAATTCACATTCAATATAGATTTTTGAAAGTATTTACGCCGTGCACTTTGCAGTTGTCATTTAAAAATTAATATTTATTTTTCTATTCATCATTGCATTTCGAAGTACCTTCATTAAAACTGTGGATGTATTTTTTTTTCTTTGAATACAGTTTTGTGACATCATTTTGTATATCAACTATTTCACTTCGGTTAGAAAGAAATTCATCTTGTAGCATTTTGATTACAATAAGCGACTTGCTAATTATAATAAATGACAAATGACTATAAAGATATAGAGAGGCGGAACATCATTCATCCGATGACAACATATGAATGATAATATTGCTAAAAATTTTAAATGCTAAACCACAAATACCGAGAAATTGCTTGAAGAGATCCTTACATCGAAATTTTGAAATGCTTATTAAATTTTGATACGTGCCTTAAGCCTTAAAATACTTCTGCTTGTATCTGCCTCACACAATATGTAATAAATCGAGCATAATATCACATAATATAGATTTAAATTTTCAAAGGTCACCTTAAAGAACAACACATAAGAACTAAATATAATCGCTTAACGTGATCATGTTTAACACTCAATAAGACATAAGAACTATGTATTTGGTAATCTAATAAAAGTCAAACTTTTACAAATATAGATATTTTTTATGAATGACGAAAGGTTCGTTTGATTTAGGTTATTATGGAAAGACACACTAAGATCATCTGTCTAAGGGGAATGACGCCTTTTTGGAGGACTTTAAAGGAAACTAGCTCGAATACACCTTACATATAGGGAAAGCCAACGAAAACGCCCATGCACTCAGCCCGTTCGCCTCGATTCCGATCCTAAATACGAACTATCAATGTTTAGTATTTCATTCTTTAATCATTCCGCTGTTGGTCGGCCGAATGATAAAAGTGTGGCAACATATAAGAGGTAAATTTAACTTAGAAAATGTATGATATTGAGAAATAATAAGTTTTTAAATAGCTCAAGAAACGTAAGGAAAAGAATTAGAACAATAAATTACACTTATTTTGACATTATTTATATAATAAAACCTTCAAGCTTTACTAATGGACATGCAGTCAAGAATATGTTGAATAAACAAACAGCAAGCTGAACACGATCAGATTCATCTCCATTCATTTTCACTGGCGTTCAAACGTAAACACAAAACGTGGACTTGAAATAGGTTATATGTTTATGTTTTTATAATAAAAACGTTTAAATTTAATTGCTTGAATAATAATTAACAAATTTTAAAATATACGTATGTTTTCATCAATTCAGTGCCATTTTTCCCAGGATCCAGTTTTAAAAAAGAAGAAGGCCGGTGATAAAATTGGAATATATTTTTCAACTTTTACACGTTTAAACTCCGCGTTAATTACTCAACGTATTGAAGCATAAAACAAATTTGCAGGCGACGTGATCTAAATAAGCACACTTAGCAAGTAGCTTAAGTAATTACATATTTAATGGAATTTACTTCCCTCCCCAAGCTTTCATAAAGGTGTGGATCGATAGTTTGACGCAGCTTTTACAAATTACTGATAAACGTAGATAAATAAGAGAAGCCTAAATCTGTTCTGCACACTCTGAGTTCCGTTAAAGTAAACTTTTAAATTTACCAAGAGTAAATTTAACTATTTCCCGGAAAGGAGGAAGGAATTCTTCTAAGTTTGCTGCTTCTAGTATTTTAAAATATCCACATGTAATCGAGTGTCTTAATTTAGTTACTTTAGATTCGTACTTCTCAGTTGCATAAAAGCAAAGCAGAATTAACGTGGCGTAATTTTGTGCCTAGCTTTGTAATATTAATTATAAACATATTCTTCCGCCAAGAGAAGCATTGTGTTTAAAGGGAAAGATTTGATGGGTATAATTTTTATTCAGTTATGCATATATGGATAAATATATGAATTTTTCTAACATGAATTGGATGGTATACATTTTAATATGACAATCATGTAACATTTGCTAAATTGCATTCAAGATGTAAATCGAAATGGTACTCGGGGCTGAACGTAAATCGAAATGGTGCCGGTATCCACAGTTAATGCGGTAGCAATTCATTAAAACGTATCAGAGAGGACTAGTACGCATTACAAAAATGCAATTAATAATTTAACAAATATTTTCTCTCTTTTCGGCATGCCTTCCTGGTGTAAATGAAATCATGTTTGGCGCGTATTCGGGAGGTCCGGAGTTCGAATTTAAGGAAAATTAAGAAATCTGCAATTGTCTTTCCAGGGAGAGTGCAATTGCGGATTTCTTAATTTTCCTCACATTGAAAGACTGTACAAGTGACGCCCGAACTAAAAGGTGGTGGATGATAATTCGTCGCCTCCAAAATTTGGCGATTGAGTCCCTTAATCCCAAGTCGTCCTTTAACCCTTTGAAGCTAAAACGCTCGATATGGTCTTTCATTCAAACGATCACATCCGTCTGAAGCGGCCGAAATTGCGAAGTTATTCTTTTCTCTACCCATTAGGTATGCAGTAATAGGTGCAGTTTCCCTAAATGCATTTAATAATTTATTGCACACAGCTTGACCAAAAAGGCTAGTGGAAGCTTCTTTGTTAGGAAGAAGAAAGGATGTCCTGAGGAGGAAACAGACGGGACGGGCGTTTCGGTATTTTCAGCATACAGGTTAGCGAAGGCTTCGGTTTAATAAGGGTTAAAAGAGAATGCTTGTAAGGTATTTATTTTCATCCTCATTTCTGCATGCCTTCATGATTCAACTGAAAGCACACTCGATGCGTATTCGGAAAATTCAGACTTCGAATCCCTGTGATTGATTTGCACACTTTTCACGTTTCTTTATCGATATAACCTAATGACTCTATAAATTTGGTTGTATATTTGAGTAGTTTTATTTGGAGAATAATTTAATATGATTTGTAAATTTAATTTGTATTCGAAACTAAAATAGTCCATTTCGTAATAAAAGAGTCAAAGTATTTTTTTAAACTCCTTTTGTATTTCGATAAGAGTCAATCTGAAACAGAAGATTTTGCATTGATTAATTTGTATGACTGGACAATTTACTTTAAACTAATAATTTATCAAGGTTTATATAATCTGAGTTATGTGTAATTAAGCTGCATATTGTTGTGGATTAAAAACTATCTCAAATACATTGATATCGTCTATAATCACTGTTGTTAGGACTGGAAGTTTTTCCCGCTTATAATTTCCGTACACAGTTTTGTTTCAAGCTGATTTGTTTTGTTTTCTCTCAGCAACTTTTTTCAGGCAGAGGCCAGTTAAATCGTAACGCTATTAAATCGCCCTTAGATAATCGAGAGTCATTATTTCTGTAAATTTTACTTATTAAATTTTTATTTTCTGTCTTTAATGTGTTTGACATTATGACTAATTTCTAATTAAATGAAGTTATTTCTTTCATCTAATATTCCAGGTAAAAATCCGTGCGAGAATTTAATGTGCGGTCCTTTCCAAGAGTGCGATATCAACAAGTATGGTATTGCAAGCTGTCAGTGTCCACCGAGCTGTGAATCCATAATGAAACCTGTATGTGGCTCGGACGGTCAGACGTACAGCAATGACTGTGAACTGCAACGCAATGCTTGCATTCAAATGAAGCATGTCTCGGTTGTTCATATTGGAGAATGTGGTAAGTACGGACTTATTTATAAATAGTCCAGGATGATTTTTAATAGCAGAATTAAAGTGAGTATGTCTGCAGTAAAAACTGAACTTAAAAAGCTTGATAGTTAAACACTATTGCATTAAGTAAAGTATTTAAAACTATGATTGCAAAAACTGCATAATTTTAATGATTATCTGAAAAGCTAAACTGGTTTATGGGTGTATTCAAATATTTACTAGATTTAACTTTCGTTAGTATAGCTCTTTCATAAGCATTTGTTTCCTTTATGATAATAATAAGTAGGGAAAATCTTCGTAATGATCAGAATTAAGTTAAAATGATGGCTATAAGGTATATATATGCCTCCATAGGGAGCCCTTTTTTTTAAATACATAAAATTTTAATTAAACACACATGTTATTGAGTAAGATGGGATATAGAACTATGAATTTAAATGGAATGTTATAGAACGTTTCATTAATTTTTCAAATATAGGCAATATTTAGTAAAATTTTAGTGAAAATTTTCATTTACGCCAGATCTCCTAAAATAAATTCTAATGAATATACTTCATTAATCTTTACGCAGTATATAATTAACATACTTACTTGTGTTCTGTAGCAAAAGATTTGCAGTACTTATAAAATTTTTGAAATATACAAAACTTGGTGCCAAAACTCAAAATTTAAACCAAATAAATCTTCTTTTCTTTCAAATACTGTTAATAAAATCAATAAATAAATACAAAGAGGCCAGATTTTGCTACAGAACACAGATAAAGAGGAATAAAACATTTTGGAAAAATTTCATTTCAATATTCTAAATAGATTTTGAGAAATTAACGTAATCGCAATCAAAAGTAACTTAAAACACAATTTCTCAGAAAATGCATTTAAAGATTTTAGTACAGCACAAAAAATTTTATAGCACAGTTTAGATCTTTCAAAACTCGCCGTATTTGTATGTTAAGCCCTCTTTTACTTCATTCCTTAACTAATGTTGACTTTCTTTTAACATTTTTCTGGATAACTTTGCTGCTTGTAGAGATTGGCGTTTCTATTTCTGAATTTCGTTTTTTGTCTATTCCCATGTAGCTTTCAAGCATAATGGGACTAATTTCTATTTCTATATACCTGAAAATAGGTAAAGTCCTAAATATCTTAAATTAAATAAAATACAGCAATATTTGCACCTAAAAGCAATTGTTTTCAGTTGGACAAAAAGTTTCTTTAGGTAAAATATATCTGAAAAGGTTATTAAAATACTCATTATTGTTTTGAGTCTTCCCATGTAGGCATTTATCAGGAAAGGAAAGTGTCACACAGTGAAATATGTGTGTTTTTAACTTTTATATTGTTTAATAATTAGAAAATAGCTGTTTTAAACTTATTGTTTACATTTTACGACCATTTAAATGCCAACTTCCGGCATCCAAAAATTCACTTCGGTTTACTTTTTATACTATAACTTTGCTTCTATTTATCGTAAACACAAAAATAAAGCATTTTTATAAGCCTAAATATATGGCCTATAAAATAAATAAATAAAAAAAAATTCGAATATTTTCACCAAAACGATGAATTTAGGGTAGGCACATACTTAATATATATTTTAATCTTAAAATAATTAACATCTTTAAGCAGTATAGCTGTAATTGTGGTAAAACATATGTGTTTTAAAATTTTCCACTTCAGTTTCAGAGAATACTTCCATCCAAATATTGAATTTACCACATATCATATAGGGATCAAGGAGCGATGTTAATTAGATAGCGAGATAGTAAGCGATGTAATGTAGTAAATTCCGATCCTAAATAACTCTGTAATCCAACAAATTTTACATTCGTATAATTCGAGAGTGACCAGTTTACTAGTTAAAAAACAGCTGGGTCAGCCTTGGGGGGTCGATGAAATTTTAAAGGAGGTCAGTAATGACCAAGACACTGATTGGTTGCCCATAGCCGAATACGCCCCCGAAATTACTCGACATACTCGAGATCAAATTGATTTAAAATTTATATATAAAATTCATAATTTATTGTTTATTTGATATAGCGCTATATTCAAAGTCTTTTTCAAAACACATAGCTGTGTTAAGTTTGATATCTTTAAGTAATTCGAGACTTTAAAATTAGGGAAAAATATCCCAAAATAAAATTTGTTACCGAACCATCATTATTGACTTTTCTTACTAAAGGAAGAAAAGATTAGTCAAATCTGCAATTCACTATGGAACTAGGTTGAATATTTTTGAACGAGGTGATTTAAAAATTGAGTAAGTATATCAACAGACGCCCACATTAATAAAATCGAACTGTTATGCAATAAGAATCTGATTTTGTGTTTGTGAAAACTTGTTTATATTGGTAAAATTTCGAAACAATAATAAAAGGAAAACCCTAAACATAAATCCATGAAGCATTTTTTAAAACCTTTTATTAATATTTTAATCTGATTATATTCGTAAGTTATTTATGGGTAGTTATTCGTATTATGATTATGTTGTATACCGCATATTATAGAGAAAAATTTAAGGTGATCAATGAAAAAGAAAAAAAAAAAAAAAAAAAAGAAAAAGAAATATTTGGAAAAGAAAATAAAAAATTTGGAAATCAGTTAAAAGAATCTCCTCCTTCCAATTCCTATTCGCCTTCCAAAACTCTACTCCAGGTGTTTGTTTTTTTTTCTTTAAGTAACAAAAATAATTATTTTTTTCAGAGAAGCATCTTTAGTTACGAAAACTTACTTCGATAAACGACTATGTTTAAATCCATTATTTGAATGCTTTTTTTATTTGATACAGTTTAGGGTAGATCTTCATAAATTTAAAAAGATATGTCATAATAGATACTTTAAGTGCATAACAAATACATTAAAAATACTTGTACAATTGAAATATTTATACAAACAGTTAAAACAACAAATGTCAAGCATATCCGTAAAAAATCTCCTTATTGTTTCTAGGCAATTTATGAAATAAATATAAAGTTGTTGTAGTTGTTCTGACTAATCTCACTTGTCTGAAATTAGAACTAGCCCACGAATTCATCATGGCAAGGAGGGAAGATTACGGCTGTCAAGCACCATGCAGATGACAGTACGACTTTGCTCAGTTCCGTCCCCAGTTACATAGGAGTGTTATATTAAAAGAGTTTCGACACCATGGTTAAATAGTTTTACTTCTAGGTACCATGTTATATCTGAAATTCCTATATTGTTAAATGTTAAATATGAAACTACTTGCCGTTAAAGGGAGTGATCGTATAGTGAAAACGTGTTACAGCATTTTGCGTGTGAAAAAAATGCATTCCGGGACACCGCCGTGAGAGGATCGAAAACATAAAACATATACAAGATATAAAGGAAAAGTTCATATTAAATATATAAAGAAAACATTACTGTAAGAGGTTCCAGATTAAATATCAGTTTATTCAATTACAACACAATAAGAAAGATCTTAACCTCATCTGAGAGTTGTTCATTTAAATTCATAAAAAAACTTAAGGTTGGTCTGGTGATTTAAAAAAAGGAAGGGAAACATTTATGGCCAGAGAGTTAAATTTTAGATTCGACGTGTTTTTACTGCTAAGGACGTTTTTGAAAAAACTTGCCTAAAGTTCCAAACACACCAAAAAAAATGATACTTATCTTGAGTGGACATCTTGAAGTGGAGGAGAGCTCTATCTTAGCTCTATCCTTACGTCACTTGGCAAATCCGCAAGACAGAGACTCGAACGGCACGACAATAAATTACATCAGCTATACCGTCAAATCTTACGCCGGCTACTGGTTTCCATAGAAGAAATTATTCCCACTGGAAGCAAGAGAACAGCTTGCACCGCACGGCTGTCTGCCTAGACTTCTCAGCTCCACCAAGGAAAACGTAGACATTTAAGCTAGGTGTTTATTATTAAGCTAGGTATTTTAGAGAACGGCTAACGCAGGTTTTCATTTGTCTAACGAGACATAATTCCTTCTGTTTTCAAGTCAAAGTTCAGAAGACATTCGTGTTGACCTTTGCCTGACACAGATATAGACCCAAAGTCTCTGCTAATTTTTTTAGTTATTCGCTCAACAGTTTTTTCCCCCCTTCGCATTTTTGCGAAAACCCGTGGCCGGGGAGCATAAATGCCTGCTCCCCACCGGAAGCACTGCTCGATGCCCGACTAAATCTTTCCTTTCTCCTTCGCAACACCCACAAGTTTTTTTCTCAGTCTCCCGTCAACAAGTCCGTCAAGCCCGAAAGTCAGCGAATCCAAGCAGTGAGGCCTAAGCGAGTCCAGAGTAAGTGTGTAAGAGAGTCTAGCCTCTAACCAAAACGCGGCCGGGGAGCATATTTGCCGCTCCCCGCCGGAAAAAACCTCTCGGAGTCACTTACATTTTGTCCAGCAAGCCCAAAAATCAGCGAGTCAGTCCGAGAGTCAGTTCAAAAGTGAGTGTGTCCAACTCAAAATTTCCTTCTTCTCCTTCACCAAACGGGGGGCTCCCACTATGGCTTCACTTATCGCCCCCTTAATTATGGCAAAATCTTCGTTTTCAACTCCAGAATGCGGGAAATAAGGGTGATCGCGCATGCGCGCCTTCTTCACTTAGCCAACAACCGGACCCTCAATCGCCAAAACCTGAATGACTTACATTGAAAGACAAGTAGCAACCTTTGACCTTTCCGTCACGGTACTTTCCTCTCTTAAGGTCAACTAACAATGAAAATTCTTTCTCGAACATTCTCTAAAGCGCGCGAAAATCATGACTTGGCGAAAATTGCCCCCCTTCCCTGCTTCTTTCACAATGAATAAAAGTTTGAACAAGATTTACAAATAGAGGAAATAAATAATACTCTTTTAAACTAAATAATATTCCCAGAAGCATCTGTCTTTCCCCAAAAATTAAAGCCTTAAATTAAATAATTCAGAATCAAAATAAAATTTAAATTTCCATAAATCATAAAATCATTCACCTAATTTTTTTATAACGCTATCCGGTAATTTCTCTACATAACAGGAGAGCACCTCGGGAGGGGGGGGGAGACAGGTCCGAGAATCTCTAACCCCTCTTACCTTATAACCAACCTTTCGAAAGGATTTTTCAAGAGGACAGCTCGCTGCAGGTATCGAGTGCCCCCGTTCCGCACAGATACTGTACATTTACAAACATTCATGCCTTCTCCGGGATTCGAACCCTAGCCCTTCGGTAGGGCAGTTAGAGTCACTAACCATTATCCCTGTCGGGCGGCAAATATGAAGTACCATGAACACGCCCAGTTATCCTTTTATATACTAGATGAAATGAATGACTAAAACTTTCCAAAAATGTTAATTTATAAAAGACAAGAAATGTGAAGCTTCATATAATTTCCTTCTTTTCGTGCATTCTAATGTAGACTCACATGTAATATTCATTTATTAACTGATGTGTAACATACAAAGTTATTCATTTAATTCATTCGTGACACTTCTGTTTCGTTGCGCAGACAATTTCCATTGAGTAAAGTGATAGTGTAGCGTATTTCTGCTATCGAGATCAGTTGCTTATATTTTAACTAATTCACTAATTAATGAAACGACATTTTCGGAAACTTTTGTAATTAAATTAAATTAGCATCGCACATATTTGTTACCCACTTGAATTCTTAAAGGCTGATATCTTTAAACATCAGTTATCATAAAGAATTAAATTCACAGTACAATTTGATTCCTAGTAGCAAATTTATTTTGAGATTTAAAAAAAAAATAACCAAACTTTTAAAACAATCCAAAGCGTCATTCTGGAAATAAATTTGAGAACGACGGTACTAATATTGTACAATCATAATGAAATATTCTGAATTTAGATGAAAATTTGTCAATAAAATACTGAGCTGCTCTAAACTTGAATTTTGCCCAGTCTTTTTTTTTTTTTTTTTTTTTTCCTGCTTATGGTAGAAGGAAAACATAGTAATTTAAAATAATGATAGATATTTGGAAGATGAATTGAAATCGAATACTTAAAAAAGTGGTTGTATCTAAATTAATTTCTGCCTATATTTCTTAAAATGACAATTATAGATATACAGGAAACAGACATGTTTTCAGCTTTTATTTTGTAATACCAATATTTTTAGCACAAAAGACGTTAGGCCAGAAGGGCTGTTAATTTCGTTTTGGCATATTGTGGCGTTTCGCTCTAAACGGCTGTTCACTTTTCATATTCTTGCCACCATATATTATAGCCCTGTATTATGTTTAAAGAAATTAAATAATAAATAATCTGCTTAAATGTATGTATGTTTGTCACATTGTGATAAAGCAACGGTACCTAGAGCCCCCAAATTTTGAATAACGTACATCTCCACCCGAAAATGGGCATCTGAACGCCCAAATTTGGAATTTGTTTTATTATCTATTTTATATTTTGTAAAGCATTTATGAGTTTATGATTAAGAAACTTAACGATTTCAAAGCGAGCAATGGCAAAACTGCACGTGGGGAGAAACATTATTATTTCCAGCGTGCGAAACTATGTATTGGAAATTCTAAAGATATGCTATTTTAAAATTATTTTGTGATATTGCTATGAATTGAATTTTCTGGTTTAAGTGCGAAGAACATGATAATTAATAAATAAAGGTAACACAAAACGTTAAAAACGGCCTTTTGGGCGTAATATAAGATCTGAAAACTTTCAGATTGTTTATATATATTTATTTATTCATTTCGGTGGTTCATCATTATCATTAGTGATCATCAACTGTAAAATAATTTTGTTTCGGAATTATAGCTCTAGACATTGCACATACATTAAGCGGAACTTACTCAGCTTGGAATTGGGCACGCCTTTTTATGACGTGTCGGCCACGCCTATTACTTGAGACATCATTAAGCAATTTAATTAAGCATACAATTAACGCGCTACCTAATATGGGTTAAAAAATTTTTATTCCTTATTTTTCTTTACTACCAAGCTTAAATATAAGAAACATTGAATTTGCACGAATTTGTTAGCATGACAGAAGAAACATTGGCACGGTTTAATATTTAAAAAAATTGAAAAAATAAAACTTTCTATGATTTAATATGGAACAGAAAATCGACTTCACCTAATTGTTAGTTTAGTTATTTAAACGAGGTAGAAAGAGATAGTATTTAAAGGAATGTTTTAGATTGTTTAGTCAGAGCGTGTTCCACCTGCTGAAGGCCCGTTACTACGATAGCAGTCTGTCTTTAGGGTTACTTTATTCTTGCCAGTAGTACTTGTTACTCTAACAGAGGCTGGAGCTAACTTGCGCGTTATTCATATCTGTGTAGCGTTAGGCTATTTTAAGACTTAGATTTAATTTTAATCTGAAATTCTATCGTTTGAGTTATGCCATAAATGCTGGCTGGTTTTGTAAGCACAAGAAATGCCTTCTTTTCAGTTACTTGTTTTGAATGTTCAGTTACTTGTTACTTGTTTTGAAGTTTTGAATAAAAGGGGTCTTTTATACACTTCTTACGTTCTGTTGTTTACCTAGACATAGCGATAATATGCTTACGTCTTCACAAGGGTCTTGACTTAGTGTATGGAACCTAAAAGAGTACGAATCCACAGCATTTTTTTATCTATTTTTCATTACTGAGGCTAAAACACGCATGAGGATTTTAAGTCATTTACACAAACAAACAAATGAGGCATAAAATGTCAAAAAATAATTATAATAAAGCTAAAATAAAATTAAAATGTAAAAAAATTGAATTTTATGAAATGTAAAAAATAAAACATTATAGTTATGTTATTTGTTTACAAGAACTTAAGCTTTCTGCTGAAAAATCTGAAAGCTTTCAGATTTTATAGTACGCCCAAACGGGAGTGTTTTTTTTTTTTTTTTTTTTTTTTTTAACAGACATAAAGCTGCATTTGGCCAAACATATTTAAATTATATATATATATATATATATATATTAAACATATATTATTATTATATATACAAGTATTGAACATATTTTGGGCTAAACATCTTTAGAAGTTACGATGCACGTTCTCTTGCGCTGAAGATAAAAATATTTCATTCCCTATAGTGTTGCCACTGCTCTCTTTCAAATTGTTGATTTTTTAATCAAAAATTTGTTTAAGTTTTACAAAATATCAAATAGACAATAAAACAAATTTCAAATTCGGGCTTCCAGATGCCCATGTTCGGGTTGGGGACTATGTTATTCAAAATTTGTAGTACTGTAGGTACCGTTGTTTTTTTCCCACAGTGGGAGAAATATACGTACATAATGTAGACTGTTAATTATTTAGTTTATTTAAATATAATACAAGTTGATAATATATAGTGGCAACAATCTGAAAAGTGATTCGTACTTTTAAAGTCGTTGGACGCAAAATACCGTTTCGAGACAAATAGCCCTTCTGGGTTAACGCCCATTTGGGCTAAAACGAAAAAGATTTTTCATTTAATCAAGTATGCATGCAAAAGTAATATATAAATGCGGCATGTAATCTTTAACATCTGACTGATGACGCTGCACATTGCCTGATAAAAATTTTGCGAAAACAAATCCCAGATCAGGCTGCCATAACAAGAGAATATTAAAAATGATAGAACTTTTTTGCTATTTTCTTTATCCCTATTGTCCACTTTTATAGTGTGTAAAAGCTATGAATACCTTCATTAAATGTTCATGTTAAAACGTTAATTGGACTAGTTCTTTCATCCCCTAGAAACCAAATTCTTCAGCCATTTACGAAGTCAGTTACCAGAAGTCAAGATGAGAAGAGTATCTCGCCTATATAAACAAGGAAACTGAATATTTTTTTCTCTTAATTTCTGCGTGTTAAGATTGAACGGACACAGGGAGTTTAATTATTCTTTTCGCATTTTTACCGATGTTGCTGATTGCAGGATACGTTGGTAAACATCTGTCTGACATCAAAATAGTTAAAATCGACTGAGCTTCAAATTTTGTAGGTGGGATGGACTTTCTTAGAATAAGCGTAGTAAAATCCATTAGAAATTTCGGTTCTGGAAACTTAGGAAAATTGTTCTCGTAATCTCCAAAATTTCAACTTTTGATAGCCAAGCGGTGTTTCCTTCTTCGCGATTAAGGAATGCAGTGAGGAAGCCGGAAATTCCTTACATTCTTTCCCACTTAAAGGAAATCTAGTCACCAAATCCAGGTGGTGACGAATTATCTACCACATTATAATCGGACGACACTTGTACAGTCTGCTAGGCTTTTCAAAGCTGGAAACACGAAAAATGACTGTGTCTTAGCCGGGATTCAAACTCCGGACCTTCCGACTGCTAGCCGGACAGCTAGCTTTGCGCCTCGAAGGTACGCGGCAGGGAAAGAGAAAATTTCTTATAGTGTTGGAAAATTGCAAATAACTACACTGAAAAAAAAAAAAAAAAAAAAAGGGGAAAGTTCTATATCTCCCGTTCTACTGGGCCGATTGAAGAAATTCAATTAGCATTTTTAATGTCTCGAAAGCGTGATTTAGGATATGTTCTGGATTTATATATAGCATTATACTAACATAGGTATTTTAACCCAAAATCGGACTTTTTCTGAAATAACATACCAATTGTTTTGCATATTTCGATTCTACGACTCAAATTACGCCAAACTACCAAGTTTTGTAAAAATCTCACGAGTAGTTTTTAAAAAAATAGCTTTCAAAATTTTAGCTCCTCAATGTTAATTCAGATTGGTATATATTTATTAATCTCTCTTCTTTTATTAAACTTATTTTATTCTTCATTTCACATTTCGAAATTCAGGTTCATTCCAAATAAAATTCACCCATTTTTTTATAATTTATTTTTAAAATTTGTATTTTTAAATAATATTTATAAATTTTTCAAAACAAATTTTGAAATATAACCTATAAAATTTTACCATCATCTTAAAGTAGATGTATTTCTAAGCATACCTGCAAAAAATTACAATTTTTTATTCACAATTTACTAAAGATGTACTTAAATTTATATATTGGCGAGATTTGAAATTTAGCATATTTGTTGAAAGCGATAAAACATCAAATGTGGTTTTGACACTTTGCTAAAATTAATTGAAGGTAGGAACGAAGTGACTTTTTTTTCGCTCATGAACAATGTAAAAAGACAGGAACGAGGTGCACTTTTTTCCGTTCCAACATAATGGGAGGGAAAGGAAAATTGGTTGCCATGTATTAAGAAGTTCGCTAAGTGAATTAATTATTCTTGGCGCAAACTGAAAAAAAAAATTGTGCCAAGATGAAATTTTGAATTTCTCCGTAAATTTTTCACCAAATTTTACAAAATTTAATACTTAGGCATAATTTGTGTCTTAGAATCGAAATCTGGAAAACAAATGTTATTCCAGAAAAAGTCCGATTTTGTTTCAAAATATTAGAACAATGCTACATATAAATCTAATATATATCCTAAGTAGTGCTTTCGAGATATGAAAATCGCAATTTGAATTTTGTCATTAGGCCCAGTAGAACGGGAGATATAGAACCGCCACCACCTTTTTTTTTTTTTTTTTCCCGCAGTGTACATATTATGGTTGAAAATATACTATGTATGTTAGATTTTTAATTCACTTACGCAACAGAATTATTTTAATACATAATGGTCACTCTCTTTCTTTTTTGCCAATCAATTTTTGGCCACACCATGAAATTCAAGCAAAAGATGAACCTTTCTGAAATTGCATTCTGGAACATTTTCTATTTCTTTTGTGCTTTTCAATTTCAGTGGATCTAGGCGAATAAAAGGAAGAATCTCTTGATCACGTATTAGCCAGCTCTCCCCCCCCCCACACACATACACACAAACTCACACCTCCCGGCCATGGGAAACTACTATCCTCCTTACGCAGTAAATTTAGAGCTACTTTCATCTTTCAATGGAACTCTTGTGAGACCTGATCTCATTTACGAAATATTCTGGGCTACTAGACACAAGGGAAACTTACGGAAGTCTTTCAGAATTCTACCGATGTCTTCTCACACTCACAACATATGAAACTGATAAGGTTGATAATAAGTTCTTGTTCCGATACACAATCGATGTACAAAAGCGAATAAACAAGCATAAAGAAGGTTTTTCAGTTCCTTTAATAGGTGCGTTTCTCAATTCCACCGCATGTCCATGTATGGCTTGGTTTATTACATGTTTTTAGATATATACATATAGCCATACAACATATGGCTATATTTATATTATTTATTCATTGCTGTAATTCTGTGTTTTATTCTTTATTCATACATTTCGAAGTATAAATATGAAAGTCAAGCCACCTATTTTTATTAACAATTATAAAATTTACAGATTCGGAAAATAGATTAATAAGATTAGATTGGATTATTTCATTATGACAGAATACGCTACGGATAGAGATATGGGTCTATGGAAAAGTAATTACACACGAAGTTAAGTTTCAAACTTTCTTCCCGATGTATTAGAGATCTTAAAGTACATTTTTAATTTAAAGAAATTGATATTTTTGGCATTTGAAGGTCATCGAGAACGTTCGAAATGATCTTAAAATCTGAATTGATGATTATATTTTTATAAACCTAAACTAGTTTTGGTGGCGTCAGATCCGAAGAATGATGCGGTTAAGTCCAGCAATATAGATTCATTTGCATGAAATCATTCGTAATCGCCGCATAATCGAAGTGTTCTAACTAGTTGTAGTTAATGTATGCATTAAAAACAAAATCTGTATATGCAATTTACAAGACATTTGTTTCATATTAATGTTTAAAATTAAAATCACAGAATGTTCCAAAACTTCACAATCTTCTCGCAAAATAGTTAGCAATATAGCATTAAACGTGAATATCTCTCAGATAAAATTTTGAAATTAATTTTTGCCTTCTTCTACTGTAGCCATTTTCTTCAAATTCTGCTCACGCAGTTATGATAAAATAATATTTTACGTCGTTTTTAAAAATTCGCCATTTTTATTCGAAATAAAAACAATTTTTGAATAATTGTCTCTCGTGTATTCTGTGGATGATATTCTCTCAACATTCTGTTCAAGTGTTTACTCATAAATATTCTAAATATGTCAAAAATTTTAGTTTGCGTGGTAGTGGCAAAGATACACAAAACATTATACATTTTGTAGAGACATTAGGTTAATCGGAAAAAGCTGGAGAGATAAACAGTTAGCAACGCCTTCGCCGGGAATCGAACTATGGACCTCTGGAATACCGGCCCAGCTTGCAGAAAAACTAAACCACGAAGGCATGCTAGGAAGGCAGGAGAAGTACCTTACATACTCCCTCTTTTAAAGGGCGACTGGGGTTTTAAGGGACCCAATCGCCAAATCCTGGGTGTGGAGAATCCTCATCCAACACCCTTTTAGTTCTGGAGCCACTGTATAGACATTAGGTATTTTTTTGGAAGCAGGCAAGGTAAAAATTCAGCAATCGCGTTCTCCGGGAACCGAACCACTGACCTCTGGAATACCGCCCCAGTGTGCAGAACCACTACATCACGAAGGTACGCTAGGAAGGTGGGAGAAATACCTTACAATTTAAATAAAATATGCAGGTATAAGAAACAGCTTAGCTTTCTTTGAAATTATTAAATGCTTTATAATATTTTAATTTTAACATAACTTCTCAGAAGTGAAAAAAGTTTAAACATTACAAAAGTATCTTGTTTTTATATATTTTCAATCATTTTTATATAGATACCTTACCGCTTTTCCGAGAAACATAAGAAAACATAACATTTATTCTTCTTCTTCTTCTTTCTTCTTCTTATTTTATATTATTATTATTATTATTTATAACATTTGATACTTTTCTTCAAAGCTCAAGAACTATACCTTGGAAGAATTCAGTAAGATATATTAATAGCAGAATGTTCTAAAGAGAAAGTCCTAAAAGAAGAAGGAAATGGTATTAACTTGTTTTGGGGTGGGCTTGGGGCGTATCTTTGCTACATTAAAAGGAAAAGATGATCTTATTTTGACATGAATTTAGGTAAGATCTATTGAAAGACTTGCGAAGGGAAGCTTTCAAATGAAGTATTCCAAGGCAGGTGTACAAATACTTATTTCTACTTAACGATTAAAAAACAACAGTTCTTTAATTTAGACGCTAAAATTGATTGATTACCGTCTACAAGGCGAAGGCCATCACGCACTTACACCTTCTTTCGATGCCAACAACCAGAGGTATAGCCTCTGTTGAAGAGAATGATACCTTAGCCGGATAATGAAACCCCATGAACATCGATAGAGTCAGCCTCAGTTTGAGTTACATTTGAGTTTAAGGCGTTCACGTCGATTTCATTTCTAGAGCAAAAATTAGTTGATTATAACTATCGCTTATGATCTTTCCGCAGTATACCCACCAAGAAATCCCCTACAAGACTCCGATAATCAGAAACAAGAGGTAAGAACTGAAATTCAACAATAAAAATATGGAAAAACATGTCTATGTTCCATGCCGAAGAAGTTCTTTTGCTTTACCAAATTTTTCTGTTTTCGTTACTGTAATAAAGAAAGAGTAAGAAAGCTCAACTTGTAGACACTAATAGGAATAAAACTTTTTAACCCCTTTCTGAAATTGCAAGGGCTTGTCAAAAAGTAGCACTTTTACAACCCCTTAAAAAAGGCAGAAGGCAGAATGGGTACCTTTCCAAAAGCTATAATGTGAACTTAAAATGATTTCGAACAGAGATTTAGAATAGAAGAGAATTAAATCCATCTTTTATATCTCGTAATTTATCGAATCACAAAATTAAAACTGTCTAGTAAATCTAACATTTGTAGACAGATTATCTAAAAAATAACGAATAGAAAAGTTAATAATCTCTATATAATTGCCGACATTACATAGAAATCCAAAGTAAAACATGAGTTCTACTCAGGAAGTAAAGTTTGTCAAAGCTAAGCAACTTTAGATACTTTTAAAAGTCATATTTAACATTAAAACAATTAAATTAGCTTAAAATGTATTTTAAAAATTAATTCTGTAATTAACTGAATTAATCATTTATTTTAACAAATTAATTAAAAACTATTTAAAATCTAGAAATCTGGAATAAAAATTAAACTGCGACAGTATACACATTTCTGTCTGATGCTCTCTCTACGATAATCTCATCGCAGAATGTCAATCTTCGAACTAATAATGGATCGGAAATTAATCTTCCTAATGAATTTTTAATTAATAAATCTAAATTCGAAATGTAATATGAATGTTTCGCAAAAGAAAATGGATTTATAGATTTTTACTTATTCTTCTAAACTTGTACGACTATTGTTTCATTTTATTCATACGACTATTGTTTCGTTTTAGGAGATACAGGGCCTTGCAGTAATTATATATGTTCATTTGGAGCAATATGCATGCTGAATAATGATATACCAGGATGCGTATGCCCTAGCTGCACAGAAGAGTTCGATCCAGTATGTGGAACGGATGGAATGTCATATACGAACGAATGCAAGATGAAACGAGAAAGTTGTGAACAAAGGAAAGAAATAAGCATAGCTTATACTGGGCTTTGTAGTAAGCATTTTGGCCAACTTCATCAATTTTATTTTTCCGGATGCTTCCTTTTTAACTTAATACATAATTCTTTGTCTTAACCTGTGCTTTTAAGATGTCAGGCGTTTTGTATTTCAGTACTTCTCTGAAAGGAAGATTCTTTTTCTGATGATTTATTGATAAAATTTTTTAAATTAGTCTTTTGATAAATTTCAGTTTCTTATAATAAGAAAATAATTTTCCATTTTAGGAAATTTGCTGTAGTTTATTATTATGTTATTAATTCCCAAAGGTAAACAGAGGATTATAAGTGTGATGACATTTTGTTAAGTCTGATTTTTTTCGTTGGCAAGGAAAATGGGACTATACAATTTAGTTTTCAAAAATGTATTTTTTACTAGAAAAATTGTAGAGATAGATATTATTTGAAGGAAAGATGCATTCTTGGGTTTGTATATGAATGTATTTTGAATCATAGCAAATGAATTTAACACATTTAACTGCTTGATTTCTGTTTAAATCTATAACTCTTTCATATCTAATTCTTGAGATTCTCCAATACATCTTATATTCTTTTTAAGCCTTAATTTAAGAAAAGCACGCTCCATCACATCTGAAAAGGCCGCATTATTTAACTATTATTAATGATTATTTAACTATACTAATATGGCTATGGACTATACATTCAAATAAGACTGTGGTTTATTTAACTATGCAATCACGGTGGAGCTGAGAACCTTTCAGAAGAAATAATTTCTTGGAGCGCTTTAAAAAGGATATTGACTTGCATTCGCTGACTGTATATGGGAACAATTATGAAACCTTTATACAGCCAAACTATTTAACTACTAGAAACAGAATTCTTGACAGAACACTGGTGTTCCAGCTTTAGTTACACGGCCATCGACTGCTTTGTCCAAAATCAGGTTCATAACATCAGTTCAAATGAAAATTATGAGAACTTGATTGTTTTAAGTAACTGGCACTCGGAGAAGAAATCTTTGTTTCTTCTCCGAGTCAAATTCAAAATGGTGTCAAACTAAAGTAAATTTACAGGCTAACTGGCCTCCTAATGGAGTGAATTTGATCGGGATGTGTTCAGTGTGGGGTACAACGTGTAACACAAATTAACAGTTAGATCATTGCCAAATACAAAGCTTTATCAAGCAATTAATATCCTTTGCAATCCTAAAAAAATCGTTTTTAATATCTAAAATTAATTTTCCTCAGATTTTTTAAAATTTATTATCCACTGTCTGATTCTTAAATAAAACATTCATTTATGTTTGTCGTATATCAGGGGTGGGATACCCCGGATCACATTCCACCCACATTCATCTTCAACAGCAGGGAAAAAGGCTGCATGATTTTTATAATCTTGAGTGCTGTTGTTCTGCAATTATTATTGAATAATTTTTACGTAGATTTATTAAATTTTAAACAAATTAAAAAACTGCATAAGGACTTGAAAATGTTAGGTAATTGCTTTCGTTTACATTTATAAAATCGGTAATGTAATTTAATGTGACTTTTGCATTTGTTTTTCGCTTGGAAGTAGTCTTGATTCCAGCTTCGCAACTCGTGGTTTAAATTATCTTCTAAGTGAACATAAATACCTTCGATCTTAAAGAAGTCTTAATTTGTATCATGTATGAAAATATTGATTCATAATAATATGTAATTCCAGAGCAGAAAATCAATGGCGTGCTTGGTCACGCAAGTTTAGAACGGAATATTTCCATGTGTCAATGAGATTTTACCGGCATAGGAAAAGATATTTTATAAAAGTAGCTTCTTTTAAATCAATTAGCTTCATTTATAGTTCTTTAGATACTTTTAAGACATCAATCCGATATGGTTCAAAAGTTAATTGCATTACAAAAATATGCTCTTCAAAATGTGAAAATCTATTCATGTAGTCTTCAATTCAGCAATCCATGACTGTTGCTTAAATATCGAAGATTTGTGGTCATATTTCTGCTCGTTTAAGATTTTTGACAGAAGCGAGAAATAAGCGATAACCAAGCGATAAAGTTTTGATAAATGCTAGCTTCTTTCAAAATACTTCAATTTTCTGCTTCATATCATACATATGTTTTGTTTTGCCTTGCAAAAAAATTAAGTCATTTTGTTTTTGTCAGCAGATATGACAAAAATGCAAAGTTTCTTTTAAATTATTTATCTGATAATTCGCATGTTTTTCCATGTTCCTCGTTAGAATGTTAAAATGTGTTTCATAAATTTAAAACTTTATAAAGAATTTTCCTGTCACGAATATATGAACTTGTCAAATAATAGGGCAAATAAACACTAATGTTTTATCATCTAATATATAAGCATGTTTCAGTATTCATGAAGGCGCATTGCATTCACTCAAAAAAGTTAAAAGTTGCAATAACTTTATCTTGTATAATAGTTGTCTTAGCTCAAAGAATTTTCTGATGCATTATACACTGGAACAGCACTAACTTTTTAAAATTTGAATTTCCTCTTTTAACCAAGAAAGGAATCTTTCTTTCTTGCCTTTCGTAGAATGTGTACCGTTGGTGCAAATACTGAACAAAATAGTAGAAATTAGTTCTGATTGACGCCATATTTCTCTGAAGCTGTTAAAATTTCAACGTATGCGTATATGACATTTCAATGTAAATTATAAATAACTGGCAAAGCGACGCAAAATCAAAAAATAAAGGCCGCAGGTTTCTCTACTCTGCCGTAAATAAAATAATGTGTCATATCGCAAAATTATACCAGATGCCCATGTAGCACATATGGTACATACCTTTCTCCATTTACGTGAAAATGCAAATGTAAAATATGAAAATTTATTATTAGGATTACATTTCTATTGCATAATTTCTTTCTGTTCGTACATTGTATTGCATAATATCTCATCAACTTCTACTTTTCCCAGTTATTTTTGATTTTCAAACCTTCATATTTTAAAAATATAATTAAATATTTTTTTTACCCTTATTGTATTTAAAACTTGTCCAAGTAAGAAATTTGGAATGAAAATTCATCACAGTTTTTAAAAATGTTAAATTTTGTTTACGATTCTAAATTCAATTTAGCCCACCAGCGGCCGAGCGGTTAAGTCGCTGAACACTGGTAGTTCGGTCTGAGGTTCGAATCCCGCGAACGGGCTGGCTGCATGGGTGTTTTCGTGGTTTTCCCCATGTGTAACGTGTATACGAGCCAGTTTCCCTTAGAAAGTCCTCCACGAAGGCATCCCTCCCCTTAGGCAGATAGCCCTCGAGGCTTTGCCGTAATTAAATAACCTAACCTAACCTAACCTAAATTCAATTTAATAATAAAATTGGTTTCATATAAACTCCTCTTGATTATTTTTAAATGTTTTAGAAATAAATACATTTTGTTCGTTTAAAATTACTAACAATTTATTTTTTCTTGTTTTTGAATTTTATTCCAATTAGTTATTATATAGTTTACCAAACATTTCTGAAAATACTAGGAAAACAATGAGAAATATCGTCAATTATCGACATGATCCATAGAAAAAACTCGAAATCTTCATTTAACTCACTCTTTTTGAGCTGAAGCTCTTCAGAAATCACTCAGAATTGCGTAGCTACTAGCGACCGAGCGGTTAAGTCGCTGAAAACTGGTAGTTTGATTCAGGGTTCGCATCCCGGCAGAAGAGCTTGCTACATGGTAATTTTTTCTCCGTGTGTAACGTGCGTAGTAGTCAGTTTCATTTAGAAAGTCCTCCACGAAGGCATCAATTTCATTAGGCAGATAGTCTTTGAGTGCTTTGCCATAACTAAAGCCAAACCAATCAAAACTGGTTAACTACTGACTGATCGCAGACTGTGTCATTTGGTTTAGTTGAAATGGCAAAGCCCGCTAGAACTACACACGCGCTTGTATTTGTTTAAAGGGAGAGATGCCTTCGTATTGAACTTTATCAGGGAAACTTTCTCGTATCCACATCATACGTGAGGTAGACCATGAAAACGCTCCTGGAGCCAGTCCATTCGCCTATAATCGAACATAGGTCGAACTACCAGTATTCAGTGGCCTTTAACGCTCGTTGCCTATTAGAGCCGTATTTATATGATGTTGTCAGATCTTCTGGATGCTTCGGGGAAAATCCTTCAAAGACATTCGAAAATACGTTATCCAGAAACTTTAAAATACTATGTTGTCGTCGAAAATCTCTAAATGTTGCCACCTTGAAGATAGTTTTCCTTTCCAAGGCTGATTAAGAGCTTTTTTGCTCGTATCGAACGTTGTACGCAATTCTTTCACAAGTTAAGATCTGTAGATCTATACCAGAAGTAAGTACTTATATATAAAATATGTATTCACAAGTGCAATCGCACTTAAAATATTAATTACTTTAACTACAAAATTTAAGCAACTAAGTAATGAAAAACAATATACAATACTAAAACAATACTCAACAACGAAAGCAACACAATTAAATGGATCAAAACATGTACAGTATTATCTATATATGAATTATTTCCTAATTTCATTTTGCGCAATATTTCACAGATGTATGCAGTCACACGCAATGCGAATACTACGCAGAATGCGAGCTGGACAGCAACACTGGCCGTGCCTCTTGTGTCTGCCCGCAAAAATGTGTGAAGGTATGCTCACATAAAAATGTAATTTTATGCACTGTGCTATTATGTATGTATTTTATGTAGTTTATATAATTTATCTCTTCGCAATATTAATTTGTACGCTCTTTATAAATAATTTTCGTAGCTAGGCGGATGAAATAAGATTGTTCTTTTCAGGCAATCACATACAAATAGCTTTTTCTTTAGGCAAAAAAATAGTAAATAATTTTATCCGATTACAAATACTTTTCGAAAGGAAAAAAATTAAAACTATTGAAAATGCATTTCTCTTACGTACGTTAAAATTCTAAAGTTATTTTACTTATTTAATACTTTAGTTTAAAATAAGACAGAATATTCATTATGATTTGTTTGTTTTTTCCTTTTTCAAAATTTATCCTAGGATATAGCATATTTTCTGTAGAAGCAAATAAATGTAGGATTTAATCAAAAATTTTTTAATTTCATATTAAAGTTTTACAGAAATGACTCATAAATTAATGCTTACTGTACGTAAAATAAATGTTTGTTAATAAGAAGCTTTTACGTCAGATTTTCAATAATAAGATTTTTGTTAAAATTGCACATTTTTCTACGACCTCAAGTTTAGTAGCGCAATCGTTTGTTTTTCCTTAAAAGTAAAATGCTTGATAGGTTAATATTAAAATTTTATACATTTAACAGGGTAGTTGTCAAAATACGTTTATATCTTAGCATCTGTTCGAAAGTTAGCTTTCCGTAGAAATTATTAAGATTTTAACAACTGTTTAAGACTAATTTAAAAATTCTCTCGAATAAAAATTAAATCTCGAAATCAATGCGTTTTTTCGAATCGTGACTTTCCTTTAAAAAGTATAAAAAATTTGATTATACCCAAATTAATGTATATAGGCAGTTGAAAAAGTTAAGTTAGAAACAAATAAACTTCTTTTCATCTATTTTAATTAGATAAAATTGTGCAGAAAACTGAAAAAAATATTCTTTGTCATTAATAGAGATAAATGATCGTCAGTTATTTTTCGGTGTAAAGAACAAATGAGAATTTTAATTCTTTTCTTTGGTCAGAATGGTAATTAATAACAGTTCAGGCAATAGCAAAAAATAAATAAACATGTTAAACAATTTATTCATGCTAGAAAGTGAAAATGGAGAAAGAAAAATTATTTTAGAACACAAATCTTCATAATATTTGCCCATTCCAAAAAACAGTTAAGTACTTTGAAAGTGTCGAAGTCGTTCAACTCTGGACGAATTTGATAAATTGTTGGCTAATTATATCAAAATTATTCTTAGTCATTTAATTTAATTTAGGTGGAAGCTAAGGTTTGTGGAAATGATGGAGTAACGTATCAAAATGAGTGTGAATTACGAGTATCGGCATGCAATAAGAAACAGTACATTATAGTCGCATCCAAAGGACCCTGTGGTAAGAGAGTTTATTCAAAAATATCTGCTAATGTACATTAGTATTAAATGCTTTCCTTCAAATTCCAATTGTCCATCTTCTGTAAAAATGTCACTCCAAACACAGGCAATACAGACAGTCTTTTACGATCCCAGTTTGTTTCCAAAGACATTGTATGCTTTGAAATAGCAATATGTGTAATTCATGCAAGGTTCCAGTTGTATCGAAAGTCCGCTCTCCAAACATTCTGGAGCCTGAAACTTAAATTAATTAATTTACATCAGCTAATTTTAGCTTAGCTGCTGTAGCTAAAATAGCATACAGCAATTATATTAAATTGTTGTACTGCCAAAAATAATTTGAACTCGTCCATCATTTGGAGTCAGAATTAGACACAAATTTATAAGTAATTAAAGAAAGAACATCTTAAAAGTAAACTGAAATCAGTTTTTTAAATATTCACTGAGTTTTTAAAAATTTAATGAACTACTATTTTACAGTAAAAAAGTAAAGTCTGAATACTGTACCATTTTTTGCCTCCCATAGGTAAGGGAAGTAAGGTTTCTGGTCCAAAATCAGCACAAATTAGGGTCCCAAAATTAGGGTCCAAAACAGCATGTTTCTTCTGTTCTGGAAATGTTTTCTATTGTTTTGGCTACCATTTAATTTTCTTCAAGTTCATTTAAAGCTGAATTTTAGGGTGTGATTTAGTTTGGGACCTGAAACCAGATCATAGAACCGAAGTGCTTTCTTCTCTTAATGAGAGAAAAACCTATGCCTGTCCATTTTAGGTTGATCCACAGCTGGTAGAGAATATCACAGTTTTTTGAAGCCAAAGAAATTAAAACTTCCTCCGTGTCTTTACCGAGATTCGAACCACGAATCTATCAGTTATTATCTGGATGTGCTAACCACTTACACCAAGAGAACATGCGTAGGAAGAACGCTGTAATAATTTACTTTTTTGCCACCATATGGGTAAATTGCAGACGTGTGAGAACCAATTGTTTAAGTCCAGTAGTCCCAAGTTATCGTCCAACAACAATTTAGTTCGATTCCCACATTAGAGCTTTTAATGCAAGGAAGCGTTATCAACTTTTCCTTTGGCCAGATTCGAGCCACGGATCTTCAGTTTTTTTCTTCGATCTGCTAATCACTCATCATACAAAAACACATACTATGGAATGAATTATTTCTTTGGAAGCCTTTTAAATGTTTTTTTTTTTTTTTTTTTTTTTAAAAAAAAACGAGGATTTTAACATTTATTAAAACCTGATGTAATATTTCACAAATCTTGCTATATATCTTTAAAACTCACAACTCTCATTCAGTATGAGAATATTTTAATACTGTAATGAAAATCCTTATTATACCATAAATGTCGATTATGATATAATAAGGCCTTATAATGTAATTTTTATTGCAATAGATGTCATTTGTTTACATATTTTATAAATACCTTTAAACTTAAACCAAGTAAATGCAAAGAATACTAATGTGAGAAAAAATATTGCTTTTAATGATTAATCTCCTGTTTCAAGCAAGAAATATTATTCCTGCATTCAATTAATCTCATTTACTTGCGCATTTTAATTGAGGTTTTTATTATGACTAATTTAGCAGCAGTATAATAGTATTATCAGGACTGGTATTCCTCTTTACTTGCTTTGGAAACATTAACTGTCCTGACTCGGAACAGGGAGCTTACTCAAGCTATGTTCGATAAATTGTGAAGTAGACAATACACACAGGAATGGTATACGAAACCCTTTATTTTTCTATCTTTATAGAGCTTTCCGGAACTTCGGAATATAGAGACCAACCACTTGTGGTCTGAACGTAAGAAAATATAAAATAAAAAACTACTAAAAACTCTAACTAAACTAACTTTGGATTAATATACAAGTGCCTACTTTAAGATTGGCCGTAAATTAACAAAAAGCCGTATGTAGTACAGAGAGCTGCTAGAACTACGATACGTTTAAAATTATCAAGAAGATTAAACCTCTGGCCTTGAAGGCAACCAGCAACCGAGTAAAACTACTATGGCAAGCGGCCTGCTTCTAATAACTCCTTCCTCTCTCTTGCTTGGCAAAAAGCCACAACTTAAGTACTTGGCGTTGGCAAAACAAATTTGCATAAATAAGTTAAAGCTTTTAATTCTGGCCGGAAGTAGAAAATAAGAAGTGATAGTAAAGATTTAAAATAAAATAAACGTTAGTAAAACTTAGGATCCTTACAGTATTATTAAAATCTTCCTTCTCTTTTTATAAATTAAGGTTTTATTCTCGTAAAATAAGCTGTATAGTGGTTTTAATCTTCAACTAAATCAACCAGTAATTCATTTTCATTATGTAGTCAGTCCCACAGTCAAGAAAAAAGAATTACAATACTATGGAAGTAATATGGTGTATTGGAAGTTCTTTATCGAAACTGATGAGAATATTTGCGGGTTAAATAAATTCATAGATTACAACTGTGGTTCTTCACTTATTTTACTCTATGCACCCTTTCACCTTTATTTGATGGTCTTTTCCTTCTCAACTTTCCAAAACTCGAAAAATACATTTGCATTTAATTAAATTTATATTATATTTTAATGCATATTTTCAGAAAAGTACTTTCTTTTATAATCATAAACTAAATGCTTAGCATGTAAATAAAACGCTCACCCCGAATTCCACGCTGAAACTTTGAAATTTCCCCAAGGTAGAATTCCCCCCTTCCGATAGAGAACCTCTGGATTACAATTTTTAAAAGCGAAATAAATTCGAGATTTATTACAAAAAATCAAAAAGAGTGTAGATGTTTCTATATATATTTGTATGAATTCTGTTAAATCTTTGTTTGCTGATATAGTTACTAAGCGTAGTTCTACCATCTATCAATGTCCAGAGCAGAGGTTGTGGACCTTTTTCCAAATCAAATAAGTCAAATCAATAAATGTACAACATAAGGCACGCATTTCGATACAACTCCAAATCTTTTTAAACATAAATTACTGCATAAAGTAAAACCAAAGGCAAACAATATTCTGCCATTAGTTTTAGTAACTATAACATTGCAATTATTCGTACCTGAACTCTCCTCAGATTGTGCTTCAAATCGTTAACCACCCTTTTTTGCAATATGTCACAAACTGCATATCTAAAAAACGAAGCTTACATATTTACGCTGGAATATTTATCACGCATGGATATATATATAGAGAGAGACATGATAAATTTACAATACGCTAATTAACTGTTTTTGCATATTATTTTTTTTTCTTATTCTGCGTTTCAAAAACGCTTGTTTTCTCATTGCATAAGGACTTTTAAACAACCACTTAAGGTTCAGCCAAGCTAAAAATTTTAATGACATGTCTGACACTAAAATGACCGCTCCGACACTTAACTGAAAATGACTCTTGCACCAGCAGATTTTATACAAAAGATTCATAAATTTATTTGAAAAAAATCCCCTCACAAGTTTATGAAATGAATTAAAATACCTTCCAATAAGTCTTAACTATACAATGTAACAGATATTTTAAATTGGATGATAATCTTTTTTGCAGTTAGCAGCTAAAGAATAAAATGCAGTTTTAATTGTAATAATCCTATTCACTTAAAATAATTCCAGAAGGAACTACTGAATCCCCGGAAATAATTTCTTTTTACTGTATGAATATATAACTCAAAACTTAAACCGAGTTCCTCGCTGTATTTAGCGTTCAAAAAGACCTTAATTCAAACTTCCTGTAACTTTACGTATTGTTGTAAGTGTTGTTGTCATAGTTTTATACCTGTTCATTTTCTCAAGTGTTTTGATATACTTTTATTACAGTAACAGAAGCTTTGGTGTGTTCAGAATGTATTGTTGCAAGATGTTCTCCGTCCCCATTGCAATAGTTTCTCCGTCCGATACTATTATTGCTACTGGTTTCTACAAATAAAAAACGTTTTGTATACTTTGTGTAATCTATCTTTTCATTCTCCCTTATTAGTTCCTTAAAAAGGCTGAGGGAATAAAATTTATTATAATATTGTCTTAGAAGCTTGGGAAAATTCTTGAAATAAGATTTATTTCCGGTAGTGATGCTGACGCCTGTAACAGGACGACCCTTTACATTTTAGCTGCCACTGATTAATACATCAATGAATGTTCGAAATACTTTCAAAATATGTGTGATAACATCTTTATCATGTACTTCCTTGCAAAAATTTAGATCATTTTGATCTAAATCTCATTGATTGGAAAGCTTAGTATAAAAAGATGAGCTGATTATTGGACTTGATCTAATACGAGTTAGATCCAAAGAAATGTGAACAACACGAGCACTAACAACAGAATTAAATAAAAAGCGTACTTCATGCTTTGAAAAGATACAGTTTGATAAATAGACTAGTATGCGAATTAAGCTGGTGTATGTTAGTCTTTTGATGTATAGTTTTTTTTTTTTTTTTTTTTTTTTTACTTTCTCATTTGTTTTCTTACTTTATTTTATTTTTTCCTCAATTATTATAGATCAGTGCCTCAACGTGCACTGTAAATACGGAGCTCGGTGTGAAGATGGACGTTGTGTGTGCCCCACTGATTGTCCTGAGATTTATGAGCCCGTGTGTAGCAGCGATGGTGCAACTTATGCAAACGACTGCGAGATGAGGAGGGCGGCTTGTATGCAAACGCAAGAACTTAGAGTTCTTTTCTATCGCGAATGTGAAGATAATGGAGGATCCGGTGCAGGTAAGAGAATATTGTTGTACCTGTTATAAAGCATAGAGTAGGAGCACATGCTTCATTAATATTTTCTGAAAATAAAATAATCATTTATGAAAATTATTTAAATAACCGATATTTATTTCTGAAATTTGGATGTGTCAAATCTTTATTTCTATATAAATGTGGTACGTATTTAAAATGGAAACTTAAATATTTTCTCAGTACATAAAATAAATGTATGAGTACCTATCCAAAAGATCAAAAAGGTTACTTACAGGCTTTCGTTTCATAAATATTGATATTGTTCATTTATTTTCATTCATAAATTTTCTTAAAATAATATACGAAATTTTTAGAAAAACTGAATCAACGTGAAGAGAGTTTGAGTAAAATGAATCTTTTTTAGGGTATTTCTGCAAAAAGGATTCCTCTTAATAAATTACTCATAGAGCTTTAAATAATGATTTCTTCCAATTCTTTTCATTTAAGTAAAACATCTAGGGAGATAAGCTTAAAGAAACATTTTCAAAAATAAAGTAGACGAATAATGAAATTTGGTGTACTTTGCAATCATTCTCAGTAGTGACCAAACTCTTGGTAGACATTAAGCGAATTATCGCCGTCTTAAATAAAAACTGAAACTCGAGAAATGTGTAAAATACCCTTTTATTTAAAACTCAGAAGAGCAGAAGCCACAGCTGGTGCTTGCAAACTCAGCCAGCACTCACGGTGAGAAAAATTAAGGTAACAGTCATTTCAACGTAAGTTAAATTTAAATAAGCTAGTAGCCCGATGCTATACAAATCAATTTAACGCGAAGTTGTTTCATTTATCTAACCGGCTTGGAGATTCATTATCCGTAATTATAATGTAAGATCGAATCTTATCTGATCTAGAAACCTACTAACGTGGTCTCTAGAGTTAGAACACGCTTTGTCTTAAAATCTAGAAACGTCATTATAAATACTCGCGAACTAATTTGCATTCTGGCGGGAAAAAAATGAAGGAAGAAGTGACAGAAAAGATCCAACATATAAAATAACTGATTGATTAACACGAAGGAATGTCCAAAATTAAAATAACCCATTATAAATTTACTAAACTAATGCTGTTTCAAAGAAAATGAAACAATGAACTGCTGAGGGATGTATTTTCTTTTAAATGGGCTCTACAAAGTCTGGAATTTAAATTATTAATGATCATGAAACAATTGCCTGTAAATTTGTTTACTAATATTTTCGCTAATGTTTTAAGTAGATTGTATAATTTTTTAATTTTAATTAATTAAAGCATACTAAATATTTCATTGATTGAAATTGTACCTTGTGGGAGCCATGCAAAAGTTATATTTTACGTTCACGAAACCGTAAACTCGTAATGTTGACTCTCCTTTCATAATACTCTGCTTCCTTTTCTGATAAATGATCAAATATAACTATATAGAGGAATTGGTATTAAAACAAAACACGTCTCTAGCTACTTTTTAGGTGTCCGCCGAAAACGTCGCGGAGAAAACAACGCAAGGCGAAAACTTCGTCTTACAAAACATCGTGTGAGAAAACATCGTCGTCGATAATAAAGCAGTTCAAAAACTGAATTTAAAAACATCGTCTTCGAAAGTATCGTGGTAGAAAATAAAGCACCTGCAAATCATCGCATGACGATAACATCGCAGATATGGTTTTCAGGATTTGAAAGTCGTAAATGCATATTCGTGTAATGATTTGTGAGATGAAAAAGGAATGGTGAATATTTTTACTTTTATATCTCAATTTTTTAAATAACTAATAAATTTTTGCTGAAAAAATAAGAATAATTTTTAAAAGCTAAAAATGAGCAGAAAAATATCGCTAGGTATAGCAATTAAGAGAATTTTAAACTAATATATTTAACCAATAAAGGCTATTAATTAAACAATCTCTTTTATTAAGTTTTATTGGCAATGCAAAATGTAGTCTAAAAACGATTAGGAAAAGAAATATAAATAACTGGATGCTATTACGTCTATTCAAATTGTTTATTTAATTTCAAATAATGAAATTCTGTCAACTGCTATAAGTAGCATTAGTTTTCTGGTCATTTTCAGTTTCTGAATGCTTAAGTTTTCTTGATTTTACAGCAAAAATTTATTAGTTAATTCAAAAATATATAAAAAAAGTTCTTATTCCTTCATCATTTCACAAATTATTATGTGATTATGTTACACAACATTTAAAGCCTGAAAAACACATTTTTGCGATGTTATCGTCATGCGATGATTTGTAGGTGCTTTATTTTTTATCACGATATTTTCGACGAAGAGTTTTCTTAAGCTCCGAAGTTTTTGATCAGCTTTATTTTCGACAGCGATGTTTTGTGCTACGATGTTTTCTCCTTACTTTGTTTTTTCTCACAATGTTTTTCTCCTGTAACCATTTTTTTTAAGTATCTTATATAGCAATAGAAGTAATTTACAAGGATTTTCTTTTTTTCAAATTAGCGTATGGAAGTTCCTCTTGAAACATTAAAGAAAATTTCTTCGGAGAGTGACTATGACATATGTAAATTATTAAGATGTGACAAAATATCTTCTTATATTTTGGTCTAAGTATAACTCTTTCACTCTAAACAAATACAAAAGTTAAAGTGATATTTTTATACACTGCTATAATTACTCTAAATATGAAATTAATACTGCTTTCATGTATCATGTAAGGATAATTGTTCTCAGAAGTACTCTATTGTATAAATTAAATTTTGACATAAATGTTTATTTAGTTTTTTATGAAAACTGTCATTTTGTATGTAAAATCTCTGATACCATCTTTATGACGAGAAGGCGTTATTACAGTATTACAATATAAACAGTTATTACAGTGCCAACCAAAGATATTATATTTGGCCTTTTTCAACATTCGCCGCAGGTTTGCGTTAATACATATGCAAAACTCAAAATCAGATTTCGTCGCTTGATTTTGATTTTAATAAAACTAAAAGTAATGCGAAATTTTCTTTAGCGCAATCAATAGAAAACGAAGTTTTGACCATGTTTGTTTATAATATCTATTGAAAAATATTTAAATAAATGAATTTCATGAAAAGGACAAATAATAACTTTCATTAAAAACTTGAATTCAGAATTTATGCTTTTTCCGTACATACAGCTAAAAGTAAGGAAAAAATAATAAATTTTTGCCGTATAGAAAGCAGAAAGAAAAACGCAGTTTAATGAGTTAAACGATTTCCTCGTTCTGCGATAAAAGTACATCGAGTTCCTAACGAGATAAAATTTTTCTTTTGTAAAATTTTCGCTTAACTCAACAATTTGTTAATTGTTATCGTGTGATCATTAAAGATTCTGCAAAATTTTATTACTTTCTTTATATGTAGTATCGAAAAGTCTTTCAACCATAAAAATGTCGAAATCATTACTTTAACAGGCATAGCTGTTTTGGTTATTCCTGAAAACCGTTAGCGTATATGTTGTATTCTTCTTTCAAAGTTAGACATAAATTTAATTGATGTTTTATTTGGTTCTGAGTTTTCAGATGAGTTTTAAATTAAGTTCATAATAGTAAGCCTTTATAAATTAATTGCAATAAATTAAAAGATCATTTATATTTTTTATTATAAGTGTAAGTTAAAAAAGTAGCATCGCTTGAGTATTTTATGTATTTACTAACCCTTCCCTATTTTATAAAACTTTCTCTACGTATGCAGGAAGTGCAACGCGCTTAATATGTCTATTGCTGATACAAGTCAATCATCACTATAATTAATCCAGTGAGTTCCTTGGTTCCAGCGTGAAGCTCCGTATGTAGGTATTGGTAACTCTAGCAAAGGTAAAAATGCAGAAACGAAATCATAAATCACTTAAAATTCTTTATAATATTAAAGATTATCATTCATAGATTATTTAAAATTTATACACGCTTTCTGTCTTTTAGAAGCGGGGAATTTAATCTAAATTAGACCTAAATATCTTTAGACATGTTTAGATATATTTAGATCCCGTCATGTAAGCATACAATTATTAAACAACAATATATAGTATATTAAATAATACAATGTTGTTAAAAAGCAGTATGCAGTATCGAGAAAATGTAAAAGGCAAAGCACCATAGAAGAAATCGCAATGAAATTTGAATATCCATATGCGAGCACATACAAAGTTTCTTCCCAGCATTGCATATGATAAAGCAGGCGGACAGCGTGTGTCATGTGATTCATCAGATAAAATGACGATGTCTGAAATTAAAGTCATTCTAAAGTTTCAAATTAAAAAAAAAAAAAAAAAAAAAAAAAACAGAATCAACTTTTGTGGTCCATTTCAAATTTCAAACAAGCTCTAGAAAATCTATCAATGACTGATACAAGAATTTTTTTTTAAATAAACTGCTCGTGAAATCGCATATTTAATTACATACTGAACATGTTCATGATACCTCCAAACAAAGCCAAGGGAAATCAACAACCAAGGTATTTTAAAATTCCTTCCATACCAATTGCAGTTGTTACCACATACATTCACTTTAATAATATAGTAAAACCGCTACTGAAGCATCCTTAGATAAAGACGACTCTTGACTAAGAAAAGCCCACCAGCAGCCGAGCGATAAAGTCGCTGAACACTGGTAGTTCGAATCCTGGAGAACGGACTGGCTGCATGAGCGTTTTCGTGTTTTCCCAAGGTGTAACGTGTATACGAGCCACTCACGTACAAAATCCTTTAGAAAGTCCTTCACGAAGTCATCCTTCCGCTTAAGCAAATAACCCTCGTGTGCTTTGTCGTCATTAAATAAACCAAAATATTGACTACGGGCAGATTTCATGATTCGTTTAAAACTTAGTACCTAATGCTGTTAAGATCTTGTATTTTTATTTTCTTAATTTTCCTTGTCATATTTTGTCAGTTAAATGCATTCAGTTGTTGAGTATTTTTCTTTGGTCGCTTAACCTTGCCACATTTTAACAACCCGCTTGTTCTAGTTTACATGAACTTGCACTGGGATATTATTCTCAAATAAACTCTCTCTTTCCTGTGTTACTCTCCACCAATATAAAATAGGATGTTTGGAACTTAAATTTTAGATCCATTTCTACAAACAGCCGATTATTCAGTTTTAATAGTTTGTTGACAATATATTTTGACAATAGGAATGTAGAGTTTGACTTTCTTTCGGAGTATAAACTGTGTCCAAGCTCTTAACAGACGTAGAACGAATTATCTCTGTGTCTAAAATTGACTACAAAGTTTCGAAAGGTTTTAATACAATTTTTAACAGATCTTAGAACATAAATGCACTTCTTGAGCTCACAGAAATGAACTACTAACTTGTGGCAATGCAGCTGAAGTAACATTCAGATTTAAATTAAAACATAGTCTTATAGGTTAAAGACTACACAAGTAAATTTAAATCGAAATTGGCTCATAAATAATTATAACTAACTATAATAATCCTGAATATTTTTTGTTCATAATTATTTAAGCAAGAAACAAATAAAAATTTTAAAGCACGATTTTTTTTTAATTCAAAGCTGAGTAATTTTTAATGATTTCATTTTAAACCTTACCTAACTTATAGAGATATTTCTTCAGTTCAATAATCGAGTATAGAATAGAAAAGAATATGAAACTGAAGAATTCAATTCCGCTCGCATGATGGACTCTGCTTCTAATTTTACATTTTTTACAATTAGAATAGAAGAGAATGTCAGGAGCACGTGCTCCGTTCGCCCCTGACAAGCCAAATAATAAGCACTTATTATTTGGCAAGTAAGCCAAATAATAATTACTTATATAATTCGAAATGCAACTACACTAAAACTAATTTACTTGATTTTTATATATCATAAAACACTTTTCATATTAGTGCAAGATTATGACTATCGTAAAAGTTTTTGTTGATGAAGTGGTGTGAATGAAGCTGTTGTAGTATTGATGAGGAGGGGAAGATATTGTTGCTAATTATGCGAAAATTTGGGGATTCTTTTATAGCCCAGATGAACTATTAATCTCGAAATGCCATTTTACGTGGAATTACTAAGAGTTAAATCACTGTTCATATTGTTGCTACCGAATATTATCTCCCTGCATTATACTTAAGGAAATTAAGTAAGGAAGAATCTGCATAAGTGTAGATATTTCAGTATTTCTCAGTCAATTATTTCAGTTCTCACTTCGCAACAAAGCAAAAATACATTAAAACTCAAGATGTCTGTATTGAAAATTAGGAAGTAAATCTTAAACACTTATTTTCTCAATAAATTCCAGGTTGGATTAAGCATGATTTAATTCGCAATAATAAAAGAAGGCGTTATCTTTGTTATTGAGAAACTTACTTTCTCTAGATTGGCAACAAAACTACTATTCTGCTGTTTCAAATGTTAAAACGCAATGGCCGCCATGGAAAAATTTATTAGGCTTAGCGGCACTTAAACAACTTTTAAATTGTTGATAATTTTAAACATATATCCTGTCCTTACGTAGAGATGTCACGCAAAATCACCGTTAAATTGCATTCGATAGCGGTATTTTTACCGAAATTACCGAAGTATTGCAATCGCGAAAAGTTTCAGACGTTATATTTCAATTTGCGTTGAAATATAACGTCTGAAACTTTTCGCGATTGCAATACTTCGTATAAGGAAGTAAAAAGGGATATGTCTGTCAGTTTACACGACTTGCGCTTAATTCACACTTGTAAATATATTTAATTTACGTTAATTTATGTCACGTCTTAATTTACGTTTCTAAATTAAGAAAATTACAAAAGTCTAGGACTTCAAACCTAAACATGTTGTATATTTTTGGAATCAGAAAAGTTAACTCAATTTTTTTAAATCAAAATTGAAGAATCGGATTTTTGAAGCCAGAAAAGATCTTACTTCCCTTAAGGCAAAATAATTTTAATATTAATTAATTTATTCTTTTTTATAAATTCGAATTAATTAACATATTATAGTTCTATTATAGTTATATTACTGAACTTATATATAGTTATATTACTGAACTTATATATAGTTATATTACTGAACAAAATAAGATATCTTTTACCAGTATATGATCATAATGGCATGTTTAATATAACAGGAAATCATCGTAGGTTATATTTACCTCCCACTGAACAAAACGAACCTGACAAAATTACATTTTAAATTTTTTTCTCAAATTTGCTCAGTGTTTTTTGCGTGCATGTAACACTATATCTAACAATCCTAACAATTGTGATTTTTATGAACAATTATTATTATTTTTTATTCTAAATACTTCGCATTTTGCGTTTATTAAAGACTGCCCTTTTAGATAATCCATAGACTTCGAGGAACAATTTTTTTAATTTAGTTTATTGGTAGAATTCCTTAAAGGAGAACAGCGTCACTTGAATTAAGGTTAATAGGAAAAAAAAGTAGGCTCTTCCCAGTGCTGACATCACTTAGTGAAAAAAAAAACATCACTTAGGTAGAAGTGGCAGAAAGAAGTTACAAATGGAGGTAAGTGCTTTTGAGTAGACTCGGAATCAGTGACGTCGCACAAGAGCAAGCGTGTAGTGTACAGAAACCTTGATCTGACCAACGCGTAAAGAGGACTACAGGACAATTTGCATAACATTACCATAAGATCTCTCTAATTTATTAAATTAATGTTACAGCCTGCCTTACGTAGGAATGTGTACAGAGGGTATTTACACATTTTTCGAAAGATTTCAATAAAGAATTTTAAAAACAAATGTTTCGGAATAAAACTTTCTGACAACAACTTATTACTTGAAATGAGAAATATGGTCTACTATTTTTTAATTTATTTTTACAAAATGTGGCATGTAAAACAAGATGTAGAATGAAGGATATGTTTTTGCGCTTTCTGAAGAGCAATATCCCTATTTTATAATTCAAAAACGTTTTGAAATCCATGGTATTAAAATTTCTAAGTGCAGAATGGCAACATAATTAATCGAAATGCGAAGAACCGTCAATTATTACTTTCACAAAAAGGCTCCAAACTATACCAGAAGAAGGTACGTACTGTTTGTAATGACTCTAAAGTTAAATTTTGATAACAAGAGGAATTCCGCTGAAGCAGGAATTGATTACGAAGTCATTAAATACATCTATAGCAACAAGATATAAAGTTTCTGTGCAAATTGACTTTGAAATTTTTGTAACATTAATATTTGCTTTGAAATTGTTAACAAAATGGCCATTAACTTTTATTTTTGTGTGAGTGAATAAAAGAGCTGAAATGTTTTATTTAGGTGTAAAATCCCTAGAATCTGGTTCCGGAAGTTTCCCTTGCGAAGAGGAACCTTGTCGTTTTGGGGGCATTTGTGACTATGATTCCGAAGGCATGCGTCAATGCGTTTGCCCGTTCGAATGCCCCGCTATCCGTGAGCCCGTCTGCGGTTCGGACGGACAGTTTTACGACAGTGACTGCAAAATGAAAGAGCAGGCTTGTAAAACACAGAAAAAAATTACTATTGTGCCAAAAAACAGATGCCAAAGTAAGTTGTTTTTGACTAGGTGAGCTGCTGCATTATTATTAATTATTAAAAACGTGTTTTATTTAATAAAGGGAATTTTGTTTTCTTTCTTCATGCTTTTTATAAATTTAACACAAAACTATTCATGTAAATTATATTTAGGTTATAAATAATTTAATGTACTTAAGCCTTTGCTCAATGTGCTCGTATATTTTTAGTTAATTATATGTCAGAATATAACATACGTAATGTTTTCACAAGATTAAATCAATTCGGATATTGTGCCACTGACCTGTAGTTTAAGTTGAAATCACTGTTGCATTCTGTGGTGAAAATATTATTGTAGTATGTGGTAAAAAATATTATGGCACCATATGTGGTGAAAATATTAATTGGAAGAGGAGCTATATGTAGTGAAAATATTTGTGGCAGTAAAAATGTTTATATATTTTAATTTCTTATGTAATTATCAGCGAAGAAATTATAACAATGATTAAGAGTACATCACGTTGTTTCCGCAATAACCCGAATGACAGGGATAAAATATGTGACCCACAGAGGATAGCAAAATAAAGTACTTACCCCAGAGTATGACTACTGTATGTTACCAAATCAATTATATTTTATTCTTCATCTTTGATATTGAGATAAGCATTAATATAAATAATTTTATCAACCAGACAGACGAAAATATTTGAACATCAAGCACGAGTGATGCGCATCACCAGAATTAACGTTGCACTCAGAATAAAGTCAATCTTTCTTGATCCACTCGAAACAAAGTCTTGGTGTAAAAGGAACAATCAAAATTTGATGGCAGTCATTAAGCATACTTGATCAATCCTGGTATTTTTGCATTTTCTTCTTTAGATCAGGAAGTTTCAGGTTTCACAAACACGTGCTGCGAAGATTTCTCAAAAGGAGGAAGAAGCCGAACAAAATTTATTTTCTGCAGCAATGTACAGGAAACAGGAGTAATTATTTTCTTGAATCTTCATGTAAAAATCTCACTAAAAGGATTTTCATCTATGGCAGATAGCATCGAAGGAACAGCAAAGCGAAGCAGGAAAATGGCACATCATATGGGCCAGGGAGAGGACAGACCGAAGCCCGTCCTACACCCCCGAACGCCAGCAGCAGAAGAGGAAAAAAACCGGTCCAACAACTGCCACCAAAGGCTTGGACGATACGATGACAATTCTTGAAGCGATATCGTCTGATGGTAGATGCCGGCTTGCTAGCACATTCCCTCCGGCCAAAGAAAAAGCACAGACCACCGCATGAACACTGCACTAGATGCACTTCAGTGACGCTGAACACTGTATGATAAATTTCATCGAAACACAGTTCATTGCAGGATAAATTTACTGACGCACAACACTCATTACATGTATGATCTGGTATAATAGTTAAATCAAATGAAAAATAGTCAAAAATTATTTTATCATAATTTCACTGTCTGGGATAAGTGCTACACATATGAAGTACAATCAAAAATTAATAACTAATACATATCATACAAGTTACTCATATAATTACAGCATACACTTTCATTACTATTTGTAGTCAAGTTACAATTTTCTCTTTGTAAATGGAAATTGTAAGCTAATGCCTATTTTTACATTCATACATTTTCACTGTTAAACACAACTCTGCATTAATGATCATTTTCTTGACAAGTTTCTAATTATACAGATTCTATAAATTCTTCTGGATGACATCAATTTGCCCTTGAAATTACTAAATTCATCTAGACCAATTACTCTACAATTTCATTTTTTTAACACATTAATTTTCTTCTTCCTCTTTTTAAATATGTATATATATTTTACTACTCAAGCTTGTTTTAGTAACACAATTTTCATGTCTAGCTCGTTACTTGTAATGATCACTAAGTGTACAGCACACTTTTTTTTTTTTTTTTTTTTTTTTTTTTTTGTAAATTCCATGACATTAGTCAACCCGAACCAGCCTGCAGCCAACCAAACGTATGAGTGAAAGTGGCCAACCGACACCCAAACTAATCAAGAAATCTCAAAAAAAATTCTTTTGTTGGAAATTCACTAAATTCCTAATACTTATAAATGTGTGTATGACTTCTATTTATTTATATTTTTTCTAACTTAGTGAACAAGAAAAACAAGCTCGATGAAATAAATGTTCTTAATTAATCAAATTGAACCTTGGATCAACTCTTTTAAATAATTTGCTACAATGAATTTTTGTAGTTTTGTGGTCTTTGATGTTTTGAATTAAGTAGTTTTTATTTCGAAAAATTTTTATTATTTTGAAAGGTCCATTGAATTTTGGCTGAAAAGCATGAGGTGGTTGTAAAGCCTTTAAAAATACCTCATCTCCAATATTAAATTTTGGTGGTTCTCTGCCTTTAACGACTTTATTTTGAGACCGAAAATATTTTTCTTCGTTTTGTTTCACTAATTCTCTAGTTGCTTTAATGTGTTCTCTCTGACGTAACAAGTATTGTGAAGGATTATCTACCATTGCCGGTTCATTATTTGTATCTAGAGGTGTATTGAGTTCTCGCCCAAAAAATAACTGTGCGGGAGTAAAACCTGTCACTATGTGTTTAGAATTGTTGTAATATAATTTGAAAAACGCTAATCTATCTGACCATTCGATTACCTTATTGGATAAAGAAGCTATGCTTTCTTTCATAGTTCGATGAACTCTTTCTATGATTCCATTAGACTGTGGATAATAAATGGAGCTTTTTCGGTGTTCAATATTGAGATCTTTTAGAAATTTTTCAAATTCAGCTGAACAAAAATTTGAAGCATTATCAGATAAAATTACTTTTGGAATACCAAATTTTGAAAAATAAAGATTCATACACCTTATTATTGTAGCAGATGTAATATTTGCCAGAGGAATAGCTTCTAAATATCTCGAATAATGATCAATAATAGTTAGAATGAAAAATTTGCCATCATGTGATCTGGGCAATTTACCCACAATGTCAATTGCTAACATTTCTCCAGGTGCTAAATCAGATTTTTTTATATTGCTTGTAATTGTTTTACATGACCTTGGTTTATTCTCCAAACACTGTTGACATTTTTCACAAAAGTTTTTGTATCTAAAAACATGCCCTTCCAGAAATACTTTTTCTTAATGAATTCATAAGTTTTACTAGTACCAAAATGCGGAGCATGAGCAATCTCTAAACAAGGTTTTACTAAAGAATTTGGAAGTAGAATTTTATTTTTCTAAATGCCTTGTCTTTAAATGATGCGCTCTAGGTCTTAATTTTATCATTACTACACCATTTTTTTTATCAATAAAATATTTTCCACAAATATCAGCTTTATTATTGTTAATTTGGCTTAAGATATCCTTAATATTTTTGTCATTTCTTTGGTGATTAACTATATTTTGGATGCTTAACTGAGTATTATCTGAATGAAATAAGTTAATATTGTTTACACTATGAGATGCTTCAGGAACTCTAGAAAGAAAATCTGCAGGATTGGAAAAAAACCAGGTATATAACCAGTTTTAGAGAGTAATCAAAATCTTGTAAATACAACAACCATCTGGCAACAATGTCAGGCTGCTTATCCAGCTGCATATGAAAAGTGAGTGGTCTAGCATCAGTTAAAATAGTAAATTTTTTGCCATATAAATGTTCATAAAAATGCTTGACAGAAGAAAAAATAGCATAAAGCTCACGCCTGATCGATGGGTATCTAGACTCAGCAGGAGTGAGAAGTTTCGAATAAAATTCTACAGGAAAGAATTTATCATCAATCTTTTGTAACAGAATACCACACATAGCTACTTTAGAAGCATCAGTGATCAAAAATATCTCATGATTATCATCAATGTTCCTTATAGTTGGTTTGTCCAACATTATTGATTGTAATTTATCAAAAGCATCTTGGCAATCTTGATTCCAAACAAAGGGAACATGTCTTTTAGTTAAGTGTACTATTGGCTGAGTGATCTCAGCAAAATTATGGATTAAATGTCTAAAATAGTTCATCATGCCAAGAAAAGCCTGAACTTGTTTTACATCCTTTGGGAATAGGAAATCTTGTAACCTTTGAAATATTTTCTTCAGAAGGAGAAAAACCTGCTTGTGAAATATTGAAACCCCAAATAAGTTATTTCAGATTTACAGAGCTGCACTTTAGCTGGATCTAGAGTTAAATTAAATGATTTTAATCTGTCAAACACTTTTTGAAGAATTACTTTTAACTCACTCATACTATCAGCTGCAATAATAATGTCGTCTAGAAAAAATTGAACATTACTACCTTTAATGTCATTTAAACATTTTGAAATTAATGTATGGAAATAAGAAGTGCTATTGCGAGCTCCAAAGGGAAGTCTACAAGGATGAAAATTACCCAGTTCGGTGCAAAATGCCAACTTTTCTTTATCAGAGGCCTGCAAATTGATCTGGAAAAAGGCTGATTTCAAATCCAATACACAATACAATTTCCTACCAGCAATGTTATGCAAAATCTCAGATATTTTTGGTAAACAAATTTTGTATGATTCTGTGATACAGTTTAATAGACGATAATCTACAACCATACGAAATTTTGGTGCATTTTTATCTTCACCAGGTAAATTCTTTTTCCTAACAAATATTACAGGAAAACTATAACTTGAAGAAGAGGGTTCTATTATGCCTGCTTCTAATAATTTTGCAATTTCTTGTTGAGCATACTGTTTTGCAATTTTAGGAATAGGGTAAGGTCTAGTTTGAATTGGGAAATTGTGAAGAAGTTTAAATTCTGGTACAACTTTATCAGTAGATCCTAAAGTATTATATGATTTTGAAAACACAGCATAGTTATTCATTAGCAATTCTATCATTTCATTTTTTGCTTGTTCATTTAAATGATCTAGTTTAAAGTCTGATACATTTAATTCCTCTTTTCTAAGTTTAATTACTTCTTGCAGATTTAGTGTGTTGATTTGTAAAGTCTCATGATTTTTGGGACTAACAATATCCTCAAAGTGAAATGGCACAGCAGTTCCAATAACAGAATTCTTCCTAAGAATTAATTTCTCATTGGTGTTGTTTTCAACAATAGTTTGAATGTGGTTGTGACAATCAACTATATGTAAAGATTCATTGATATGGAACTTATTTTTTGATGGCTTTGGAGAAAGCAAAATTTCTTTAAATTGTTTTAAAGCTTCAGGAACAGCTAAAGAAATGATTTGAGATTGACCTGGCTGGACAGTTATATTAGAAACCATTCTTAATGAGTTTAAATTACAATTTTTTCTTCTTACATTAACTGAGTTGCTTAATTTTTTATTGGGATAATTTTCTTCAAAGTCCAAATGAGTATTATCTACTATGAGTTTCTTATTTATGGAATCTAACAAAATTTTGTTACTTTGAATGAAGTCATAACCTAGGATTATCTGATAAGTAGAATTCCAATTGTTTTGGGTGACATAAAATAAATTAGTGAACCATTTACTTTGAATTTTGAATTTTAAATTAACTGCAGACATGTAAGGGATGCATGAATCTTCAATAGTTTTTATTCTTACCATCCGAGAAACAAATTCAACTTTAGTGAATTGTTTAATTTCCTCAATAACATCTGGTTGGACTAAAGATAAATTAGCACCAGTATCAAGAAGAGCTTCATAAGTCTGAGAACCAATTTTAAGTTTGATTATTGGCAGATAATTAGAATTTTCTGAGTTACAAGACATCAACAATTTGGTTGAGTTTCTATTATTACATCTTTTATTTTTTGCAAACTTGTGTTGGACATTATTGCTGTTACTTTGGATCTTTTTTGGATTATGATGTCTATACAGGTGTTCTTTATAACCCCAGTCTCTGCGGATTCTTGCAAGGGGTCTAAAATTTTGTTGTAATATATCTGGCAAGAATCCTTAGCTAGTTTAAATGCTTATTCTGACCTTTTTTGTATTGACTATTATTTCTGTAAGGATGATAGTTCCTCCGCCAAGTGTTTCGAAATTGTCTGTGTCCCCTGAATGTGTTGTTTCTAAAATTATGCTGGTCTTGCCTAGGAAAATACCAACAATCTGTTGTTAAGTGTCTTTTGCTACATATATGACAAGATACACTATTAAAGTTGCTAGAATTTTGAGATGTAGAAGCATTGTGATTTATTCTTGTATAAGATGTGTTTATAGGCTTATTTTGAGAAAGTTGATTTACTTTATCTGTTAGCTCCTGAATAATTTTATTCTGTTCAAGTCTTTCTTTGAGAAGATTATTAATCTCTAAATTTTGCTCAACATTTATACTGTTCAAATATGTTTTCTCATCATTCAATGCATTTTCTATATTACTTGCCAATTCTACAGCCTTATCAAAGGAAGATGGACCCAATTTCTTAACTTCAATCCTAATGTCTGTTCTGAGGGCCTCAAGAAATTTAGTGAGCTTCATTTTCTCTTTTAATTTATGTAAACTAGAATCCTCAACCGAATCTTCATTTATGTATTTTGTCGCTGTTGTAGTAATCTCGTCAGCTAATTCCCTAACAGATTGGTTACACTTTTGAGAAATGTTTGAGAATTGCTGTAGAATGTCCTGAAAGGATTCAACTCGTGCAAATTTATTCTTTAATAATTTTTCTAAATTTTCAAATTTATTTTCCTTAGCCACTCTTGGATCATTAATTAGGAAATCTAGAGCTTTATCCCTACAGTTTATTTTCAGAATGATTATTTTCTTTTCATCTGACCATTTTTCTAATTTAGCAACACTATTTATTTGATCAAGAAAGAAATTTACATTTTCAGATAAGTTGCCACTAAATGTGGGCAGAGCAGAAGCTAGGGAAGTTGCCATACCAGTGTTAGATCTACCTTTAAGCTTTGACATGGATGAAGAAATATAGTTACTTATGTTGCATTACCTTACAATCTGCTATTTCTATTTTAATGTTATTGAGATCTACATTATTTTACACAAACACTTAGCACTCTCTCTGATAATTTACATATACATTTACCAAACATGCATATAAGAGTAGATAGCAAAGTTAAGGTAATTTTTTTTTATATTTTTTTTATTTAGTAATTAATTAGGATCTCCTGTAACTTCAACCATGCATATATCAAATTAGTGATGCAATATAAGTACATTGATCATTAACACTTCTGGATTCTAATACTGCTGAACATTATTTTATCATTACATACCACAATCCAATGAAATTACTGAAATCAGCTTTTGATTCAAATATCTTAAAACTTTCTTTAAATATGCACATATATATAACAATACATATGAAATTGAATTTTTGAATTATCCAAAATAGAATTACTCTTTCATGGCATATTACCTATCATTTATCATAAATTTTCAACAATATAAATCATATGTGTAGCAAATATACTATAGGTCACACATTTTATTTGAATTCTCA